AAATCTTGGTTATTTGAGTAGTATGATATTTTTCATCCCTTTGGTTTGACCCTAATTGAGTAACAACTTTTGATTTTTAAATAGCAACCCCTTTATTTTATACCAGAAAAGTATTAAAGTTAATACATTTTCAAAAACTAAATGTACATTGAATGTACACAATGTTGTGTCGTCAAAAAATTAACCTGAATATATTATGTATAAACATGCATTATAATATGTGTGACTTTTTAAATGTACACAAGTATTAACATAACTTCTGTTGATTTTGTTAATAATTAAGTTCCAAACACAACTGATTACACGTTTTTGAACTTACTTTTATTTGCGCCTTTACTTAATTTAATATCCCTTGTATATTCAGTGTTCTTGTTAGAAGAATCAAAGAACTGCTTTTTTTTACGTTTTCTAGACTTATCTACATTTTCCACCTCTGTTGAACTGGTAATACAAAATGTTGTTAATTTTTTCTTTGCTACCTCATATGATTCTGAAAGTTTTGAAATAAATACAAGAAGTTTTAATAAATATTTTAGCCTAAACATAATATTCTTAAGTTGAATCACAAACCAGAAAACTTTCGTGGAATGCATTCAAATTTATCCCATACATTTGTTGGTGGTTTTTGGGAGGCTGTATAGCGGGAAGCATTACTACTTCCCGGCCATCTACAAGTAAATTTTTGTAGTATCTTATCAACAATGATCCAGTTACTTGGGACTATTTCAATACATTGTTCCTCCTCCAAAAACTCGATAATAACAAACTTGTTTAATTTCAGATTTTCAACAATAGCTATAAAATTTGCGGCTAAGTATGAATCTATATTTTTAAAAGAATTAAAAATTATTTTTAATTAATATATGAAATATTACAATTATTTATTATGTCTAAAGTGGGTATTATTATTGATATGTAATATGTATGTAAGTTTTATATAAAAGTTTTATCTATAACATAAGTACTCTGACAGTCTCACCTCCATCACAAGCAAGCTTAAAGGAGATGAGCAATTGTATTGTGTTAATTATGTATTTTATATGTTTAATGATATATTTGCAATTAATTAAATTAATAATAATATAATGTTAATTAGTTAATAAACCAAAATTAGTATATTATTTACTTTTTATTTTTTGTGCTGATATCATCCAAAAACTGCAAAGATTGCATATGTACCCAACTTCTTCTTTTTTCACTACCACTGCTACATTTTGGTTTTTTATTTTCTCTAGTATATTTTTCCCTTAAATATCTCCATTTCTTTTTTAAAATATCAATAGTATATTCACCTGTTTATATTTTTTATTCAATATTAAATTAATGAAAAATATATTAATGGTTTAAACATACATTTTAGATAGTCAAATAATCATACCATTTAATTCGACGTATATTTCATTCCACAACGATTTTTTTATGGGTTCGAATCTAGCCGATAAGGGAAGCCTATGGTCCCACAAAGGATGACGTTGACGAATTGCATTTATTAATGTCGACAAAATTTCTACATCATCGTCATCATCATGTTCTGGTTCTTTCTGTTCAATTACTTCTTCGAGATATTCTGTTTCATGCGTATCGCTTAAAAAATCTTCATTAAATTTTTGGAATATATTTGTTGAAATGGGTGTCGAAATGGGTGTTGAAATGGGTGTCGAAATGGGTGTCTGTTGAGCTAAAACAAGATATTTTAAATGATTATTATCAGTAATAACTGTAAAAACAATTTTACAACAAAATATTTTCAAATTGTTGCCATCTTACTTTTTGGATTTATTGGTTGGAAAACTGGGCGTTCAGCTTGAGTTGAAAGAAAAGAAACACGTTATGCAAACATATTTTATAATTATTACATTTTTTACTATAAAATAAACACATAAATCTAATAAGCATAGCCTGCATAGGCGTGCAAAGATTTCAGTTTCAGGTCAGGCTACTATTTTAAGTGACCACTCCCCACATCACCAGCCAAAACTGTGTATTTAGTTGAAACTATTTTTAAAAAAAAATACATAATATCCACCAGTATCTATCTTATATAATACTTTACCATTTAATTAAAAATGAATTTATGTTCAAATTACGCAAAATTCTAAATACCATGGTCAAGCAGAAGCCAATATGTCTAGCAGAGATGTGTAAGTTAATGAAACAAATTATCTTTAGTTAGTTAGGGTGGCTAGATCACATTTATAATGAAACTTTATTTTTTTTTTAAAATAATAACAAAATATTTTGGCCAAGAATTCTATACTATTCCTTCTAATAACTGTAGTTTATAGTTATTTAATTAGTCATTTAATAAATTAGTTTTATATACAGTTTTAAATACCTATGTATAAACATAATTTTAACTTAATGTATTATTTTTCAAAATAACTGGAAAAAGATAAGTTAATACTTAGGATTTGTTAGCTAGTTGATTTACAGTGTAATGTTAACCACAAATGAATTAGAATAACTACCTATGGAATCTTTAAAAAAAACAATATGTATCACTGAACAACGTTGACACCTGACTCCTGAGCGCACGCCTACGCTATATTATATTATATTAACCATTGAATTAGCTATTATACATTTTAAAGGTAAGGTAATTATTCAGGGAAACTCATGGGCTTTTTTTTATGTTTTAGTTTTAAAGCGAGTTTTGAAAATTTAAAAATTAAACAACTTATAAACATAAGTTAACAACTTATTATAATTTTTAATTTTTAACGCTTTAAAATTAAAATATCAAAAACAGCCTATAAATGGCCCTAGATAATATTCTTACTTTTAAATTTCATAAATCACTAATTCACTCTGAATTAATACATCTTATTAGGTCTAAGTACAACATAAATTATTTTTTATAAATTACCAAATGAGCAAATATGATTTTTATCATTTATTTTGATTATCTGTTTGCAAACATTGCACAGCACTCCCTAAAATCATACATAAATTATATAGTTATTATCTAGATTAAACATTAAGAGGACGTACACGTGAATTTTTGTATCCGTCATACCAGTGCGTAAGATAACAAATTTATACTCTACAAAACACTCGTAGCTTCGTGTTGGTACAATAATTCAGTTTTTAAGTGAGTTATGAGCGGTTTTAATTTACGGTATATTATATACGCATAACTTGCTAAAAAATTGAACTATCGTAAAAAACCAACATACAAAGACAGATAATATTCTTACCATAGTTTCATAATAGGTCAATTCACTCTAGTTTTTAAACTAATGAAGCTACACGTCTTCTGCTGAGCGTAAATTTGTTATTTTACGCACTCGTAAGACGAAGACAACAAATACCAGTGTTATACGGCCTCTTAATAGGTAAATTCACTTACTATAACTTGGCCCGGCTTCATAGTGTAAATAAACTTTTTAAAGAATATAATTTAAAGCCTTGAAGGAATTATTTATATTAAAATAAAATAAAATTATATAAAAATTAAAAATTATTTAAAGATTTTTAAATTTGTGATTGCTGCTATCACCCAGAGTGGACCGTTCGAACGGAAATAGTTGAACTAGATCCAACTTCATGGTATCATGGTTGTGGCCTGTGGTAAGAACGTATAACACTCTGGTATACCAAAAGATTACCAAGTATACCAACCAATCACAGAAAAGTATTTTTATGCACGTACACGTACACGTATGTAGTGGAAACCCACCTTTATGTGATAGGTCTGTAGAGAATGTTTCGTTGTAGCCAACATACATTTTATAATTTTTATTTGATGTCAATTCATCCTTGTAAACAACTTGTCACCATCTCTGCCATACGTACGGTAATCCATCGATGAATTACTATATATTTATAAACTACTCACTAATACAAAGGCCAATATTATACTTTTGTAATTCACACCTTAATTACCTATCATATTATTCTGTAACATAGGTGATTAAATTCCAATGTTTATCAAATCAATAACGTTTATGCCTCTTGCAATAAAAATATATTTTGATAGTTTTAATGTTACAGCGTTATATTTTATTCAGTTCTATCCAACATACGAACAAATTGTACCGTTAGTATATATTATTGCATAACAAAGACGTTATGCACGCCGCTTTTTTGTGTCTTGCGATATTAGCGTCAGCGCCCTCAGCGATTGCAAACGATAGATTATCGTCGATAGGTGGCCCGATCTTCCGTACTCAGCCGGCGCCCAGTCGTTCTAACGTCCAAATCAAGGTCACAGAGACTGTTTTGGTGCCACAGCCTGCACTATGCCAAACTGACGACCAAACCATGACCACCAAGACTGCAGACAGCGATCCAATAACGAACCCACCACAGCAGCAGCTGCACAGTACGCAGTCACTGGATTACCAAACAAAACCCAACCTCCTAACACGGCCGCCGATTTTGAACGAGACTGCAGCAGACACAGACTCATACGCCCAGTGAGTTTGTGATTTTCAATAATTATACACAACGGTTAAACAGTTGGTATGAGTAGTTTATCATTAGTTTTTTAATATGAGTAGGTATTTATTATAACCAAAAACAATTATTAGCAATAATATTCTGTGGCTAATGATATAAAATATTGAATACATTAAATAACTTACTCGAATACGCTGTGTTTCGGTAGGGAACTATTCAGTGAGTTTGGGAAACCGTGTAGATTTTATGATGACCATTTACATACCTATACACGATTCTGTATCAATTTCAATATTATTTTACATACATCGAGTACCTCAAACCACATAGGTACTAAATATTAGCTATTACTTATGCCGCTATACACTATTTATGTATGGTACATGCTCATGGGCGTAACTAGGATTTAATAGCTACAGGGGCTAGAGTCCTAGAAAACCCAAGTCCAAGATAATTTGTGGGGGGCTTTGCCCCCCACACCCCCCCCCCTCCAAGCATCCCTAGCATTTAGTAATCACAAGTCCTCTAAAATCAAAATTTAAAATAAACCATAGAATCAAAGTATAACCTAGTCAATAAAAACAAATTTACATTATAATTTATAACTGTATACGCCTATATTTTGATGAAAACAGTTTTAAAATATCATCATCGTTTATTACATTAGATAGTTCTCTTTCTATATTAAGTATAGCCAGATCACTAAATCTGTTTTGGGTCATAGTTGACCTAATGTATGACTTAATTCTCCTCATACAAGAAAAAGATCGCTCACACGTAGCTGAGCTTATGGGTATAGCAAATGCAGTCTTTAACAATGAATAAACATTTGGATAAACTTCTTGTTGTACAACTGATTTTAACAGTTGAGATTGTGTTTTTTCTTCAACATTCATACAGCTTATGGATTTGTCTGAATTTTGAGCATTTACCAAACACTTTTTTGCTACTTTTAGTTCACACTTTAATGCATCTTCATCTATATTAAATAAAGACTAGAACAAAAATCAAAAGAACTATGTTTAGGTCAAAGTATTATTTAAATGTAAAATTATAAAAAATACTCCATCCATCACCGATTATGTGTCAAATTATTTTAATATTAGTTGGCTGCTATTTAATTACCTTATAACTATTAATAAAACAGGAACTTTTTTCATAATCAAGTTCTAAAAAGCTTTCAACTGACTGGGCTAATTCTAAGCTTTGTGTTGAAAATCTGGATTTCATATTGACTATTAAATTATCAAGTATAGGGAAAAATGCATGAACTTTCCAAAAATCAATTGAAGTAATTTCACTATTTCACATTTTTACACATATCAACCACCACTAAGTTTAGCCTGTGGGCCATACAATGAATGTAAACCGCACTAGGATGATACTTCTTAAGTAATGTTTGCACACCTCCTCTACAACCAGACATCACACTGGCCCCATCATAGGATTGAGCAACGATAGGAATATTATCTAAGTTTAATTCTTTCAAGAAAGATAAAATAAAACTTAATAATGAAGCAGCAGTTTGGCTCTGTGATACATTTACAAAGCCCAGAAAACGTTCAAGAATTTCAAAATCTTTTGTGTATCTAATACAGATAGACATTTGCTCTTGCTTATGACACCTTTGAAAAATTACTTCATTATTATTATACATTCAATACAATACGCTAATACGGGTAGGTACTAGGTACCCATTTAAAGATAACAAATATAATAAGTGGGTTTTGGTCTTCGGGACATACAATACAATCCTATAAATAAAATACTTTGTGTAAAACTTTTAACTGATAAACAATCATAATTCATAATAAGTCTCATACCCGCGTCGTACATTCAATAGTTAATGTACCATATTTAGCCATATGTGAACAATACCTAATAATTTATATATTGTGATATGTCATTACTCATTAGTATTTATTGACTCAATACAATACGTCAAGACAATTTCTTCCGCTATAACTATAGGTAACCAATTACTTATAAATTTGTTTTTGGTACATCCACAATAAAACAATATCAATATGTATAAAATATTAATTATTAATTATGACTATTATGAGTTATGAGTTATGACATATGAGTTATTTTAAACATTTTTTTTCTTTTTTTTTCGGATTTGGGTTTTAGCTACAGGCTCGATTTGAGGCTAAAATGTAAAACCTTCTAGGGGGGCTAAATACAACTGCAGGGGGGCTAAGCCCCCCCTAGCCCCCCCCTATTTACGCCGATGTACATGCTGATAAATTGTTCTGAATTGATCCTACAGGGTTATACTAAACTAACAAAAAATATATGGAGACTGATAATCACCACCCTGAAGATGTTGCCTATTTGCGTTAGGTTAAAGGCCGTTAAGTCATGTTCCAAGTGACGTACATTATCTTCCATTTAATTAATTCGTTTGTAACGCACTTTCACACAATCGCACATTGAAAAAATTAAATAGAATAGTGATAATTGAAGGTCAAGACCATTATTTTTAACGCTGTGTCTAGATACCCGGGTGCCCGTGTAGATAAAGCGTACACGGAACCATCCGTGTATATAATCGATACCCGGCTGATTTATGCGCATGCGCCTTAGAGTTTGCCATAATTGTATGTCTATAATAAGTGTTAGAACTTTTTTAACGTTTAGCGAGTATATACTTTTCTCTCAAACCAACCGTAAGTTAACACCAGAAATATCTTCAGCAATAATATTGCTGTGTAGAATTAATGGATTTAAATGCTTATAAAAAATTAATCCAAAATAAGCTGCTTGATGAAACAGAAAACTAGAGCTATGAATTTGTAGAAAAGTGCATTTTTTGGGGGGGATTGTGAAACGTAGCTTCGTAAGTACATAATTTGAATTATGTAACTACGAATCTATTTATGAAACTTTTAATTTGCATTTTTTGACGTTTTTAATTTTTTATGTCATGTTTTTGCATAGGTTTTTGTTCATTAATTATGGCAACTTATTATAGCAACTAGTAACTAGATGATCATGCGCCGATAGATTATAAATAACAATATAAAATTATGGTGTCTAAGGCGCATGCTCATAAATCAGCCGGGTATCGATTATATACACGAATGGTTCCGTGTACGCTTTATCTACACGGGCACCCGGGTATCTAGACACAGCGTATTTTTAATCCATTTTCATGTAGATACAATCACAAGATTTTGGGGTACTGTGGTGTGTTATAAAACTTATAATGTGCCTTATAATCATTAAAAACAATGTGTTTCGAACATGATCCGATAAAACGTATATGGTCCTTTGAAATCCGGTCTATGGATGGCAGATGTCCGCTCACCGGACAGTCTGGGAAAGTTAATTTCTCATATTATCAATGTGTTTCGTTCTCATTTTCTAAGGTATCCACTTTAGACGTTATTTAGACTTTAGTGTGGACTTGTCCTTAGTAGTTATATATGAGCACAAATCATGGCACCACGGCGGCCTACACCCGCGATTTAATATTAGGTTATCATTATACTGTGAGTCTATAGGTATGGCATTATGAATCATATCAACACAATATACTAACTTATCGACAAACAAGGCATATTGTAATCAATATTTTATTTTATTTGGATAATTGCAGTTATTGTGACCAAGACGAAGAATATGTTGAAGACGACTACATTCAGTTTTTCTGTTGCATTCCAATAATTTTGTTAATAATGTTAGTATTGTTGGGGCATTTGAATCTTCATTATTTTTGTACATCGAGAATGAAAAAAGACTCAATGGAATCAGTTTCTTCACGAACAACCAACTCCTAATATAACATTTTACAAGACTGAAAAAATATTCCTTGGAAACTGTAAACAATGTGTCTAATATTGTACTTTGACTGTTTACAACAACTGTTATTTTTTTAAATAGACAATTAAGGATATTTTAATTAAGTTCATTATTTATTCCATACACATAAATATCATGTTGGTATAATTTTGTCTAAAATCGGTTCTAAATTAAATGTTATGAATATTGTAATCTTATTATATATTCTTATAACAAGAAACATAGTAAAAATTAAGCTGACGCCACCAGAGATGCCTATCTTTTCAACGGAATTCACAAAATAAATTAGAGGACTTTACACTGTAAATAAATGCAATGAGGAAATCCAAAATCAGAGTTGTATCAGCTTATTTGCTGACACCAAAATTATAGTATTAACATACAAATTAAAACTAGCAACCGTACTATTCTAATAAATAATTTGTCAAGTCTTGAATGAAGTCTATCATTATGTATGGAAATACTAAATATAAAGAGTAGCAGAAACTTGGCATCTCAAAGTTTAAGAGATTGAAAAAAAATGTTTACCCTTCAAAACCTATATAGCAGGGGTCTCCAACCTTTTCCAACAAGTGAGACACATTAAACATTTGAAATATAATAATTTGTAATGTATGGGACATACATCTTATTGAAGATATATATGGATATTTTTTTTTAATTAATAATCCAGCTTTCTTACAATTGCTAGCATTATCAGTTATGACACTTAAAAATTTTGTACTTCCGTATGATGTAAGAACTTTATCAATTTCTTCAAAAAGATATAAACCAGTATGAGCTTCTAACTTTGTTTCAACAGATTTAACAAAATAAGGAGTAGGAGTTGAAATAATAAAATTAATAATGCCTTCATTTCTTAAATTAGACCACCCATCCAATTGAAGTGATAAGAACTTTGAACTCCTTACTTGTAATTCAACAGCAGATTTTACTTCTTCATATTCTATATTTAGTAATCTACCAGACAACACTTTTCGTTGGGGTATTTTATAGGATGGTCTAAGTTTTTGAAAAAAGTTTACCCAAAGAGGATTTTCTACAATGGAGAATGGTGTTCCTGATGAAATTATAGCTCTGGCTAATAATCTGTCTAATTCATTCTATAAAAAAGTAAAATATAATTTGTTAGTGAAAATGTATTTTTAAAAGTTCTTAAGATAAATATTAAATAATATTCTATTACAATGTTTGATATTAATAATACAACATTGGAAGTATACATTAATTATAATATTATTAATAAATAATTTTCTTGGTATATTAATATTTTATTCTTAACACTTAAATTTTTAAAAAATGTGTGATCATACTTCATTAAAAATATAATTTATATTTATTAATAATACCATATTGATACAATTTTATAGTATGTACTCTGGAAATAGTGTACTTAGGTTAGTAACATATTGATAGTTGTGTACCTATGCAGAATAGTCATTTTTAATTTTAATCAACTACACCAACTACAATGTCTATAAGAATTATTGTTTATAATTATTAATAATATTATTCTTATGATTATTTTTATAAATTGAATATCTAAATTTAATGTATATAATTAACAGACAAATTAGGCACACATTTAACTTTAGGTAAAGGTAAAGATCAAAATATATCTATAACCATTAAAATTATAGATGGCTCTATGTATTTTTTTTTATTATTATTGTTAGTATTTAAAAAAAAATTATATAATAGGTATTTATCATCATAATACCTTAGAAGAGTCATCCATTCTACCAACAAATGATTTCATTACATCAAATATGGGCACTGTTGTATTTTCTGTATTATTTAACATTTTGTTAGTATCAACTTCATCTGGTGAATCTATTTCTTGACTACTCAGCTGAGAATTACTCATGACAATTCGCATCTAATAATGTAAAGTTGCATTATATGTATAAGCTTACAACAATACATATTTCAATTAATATGATATATTTAACAGGTAAAATACTTACCACAACTTTGGGTTTGTCAAATATATTAAGTTCTCTTAATAAAGCCTTTCTGGTTTCATGTGGTATTTTACACAACTTACTGTTGGTCAAATGTTTAGTCATTTCTGTTGTGTTTTTGCGGGTATACAACTGTCCGCAATATTTACAGTGGTAATTAATTTTATTTAAACAATCGCTATAATCAAAATACTTCCTTATAATATTGAACGACATATTTATTTTTTTCTATAAAGCCAAGCTACTATTTTTAATTTAAAGGAATGGATTAAATAAAAATGTAACCATGAAGAATGTACTGTTATATGAAAGAATAAACTCACGTCTCACAATATTGAAATAATTTGTTATCGTTATCAGAACTATGTGTTTATGTCATAGAGTAATATAGAGATGCCGTTCGAAAAAAAAGTGAAGCGGAAAAGGTGTATGTTTGCCAGTGTTGCCTATCTAGTGGAA